CAAAAGCATTGCTCTGAAGCAGCATTTCTTCACCTTCACTACCAGCTTTCTGCTCCTGCACAAAGATTTATGGGATTCATGGCTCCATACCTGCAGTTCGGAAAATACAGTACAGACCCACTCTGAGAAATTAATCAGTTGCTTCCATTCTCAGGGAAGACATTTTCAAGGCGAAATTTAGCTACAATTCACCCAAAATCTATGATGCTTGCTCTGAAGCAGCATTTCTTCACCTTCACTACCAGCTTTCTGCTCCTGCACAAAGATTTATGGGATTCATGGCTCCATACCTGCAGTTCGGAAAATACAGTACAGACCCACTCTGAGAAATTAATCAGTTGCTTCCATTCTCAGGGAAGACATTTTCAAGGCGAAATTTAGCTACAATTCACCCAAAATCTATGATGCCAAATTTCTGAGTGAGTTTTTTGTGCTTTTTGGGGATGTGCGTCTGTGTTTGTTTTTCCTAAAACGTCCTGTATCTGAAACTATCCATCAGATAATCTCCTCCTGATGATGGACACACAGGTTACTGAGTGAACAGAATAAAACAGATGGTTGGTAGGGTGCATATGTTGTACTTACATGTGGGTTAGGTACTTGTATTGAGTACCTAACCCCACATGTAAGTACAACCACACAAGAAACATGACTTACTAAGCACAATAGCCAGCAAGCAGATGGGAAAGAAGAGCTAGATACAAACTGATGTCTTTGATTCAAAATATCCAAATGTAAAGATAGAAAACAGGTCAGCCTAGTTACATATGTATATATGCTGCAAGAGAAGTGAGCTGCATTAGTAGTACAAAAGATGCTTAGCCTGAATGCTAACTCAGAAATGTTAAGTTCTTAGACTGAGAAATGAACATCAGTTAAAAAACACTGTTCACACTCCCCAGCAGGTGAGATCCTGTAAGGCTACCAGCAATGGCTGCAGGCACCATTGCATCCCTCAACAAGTACAAGTGTTTGGAGCAGGCTTGGAGGACTGATGTCAGAGAGCAGAGACAACAGCATGTCCCTCCTTGGCCTGCAGAGCACGGACATGCTCACCAAACACATCTCTATAGAGTTGCCTCACCTGGTGAATAACATAGATGCCATAGTCCAGCTGCTGCCTTTGTAGGAAGGGGTGGAGGTGCTCCAGGAGGTACAGCAGATGCCTCTCTCGATTGCGGTGTGGGATCAGGATGGCCACACGCTGCAGCGCTGAGCACTCGGTAGGGTGATACCGGCCCTCAACTACCTGAGGGTTCTCCTTTTGTACTTCTTCTAGTGTAACAGATGGTTTGAAGGTGAGTTTGCTGGCACCTCCTGTAGGAGAAGCACAGGAGGCTTTCCTGAGTAATTCTGGGTTGTGGCTAGTCCAGTTACCTAATGAGGCACTTTAACCAGTACAAGAATCGCAGGTTGATGGCCCAATTGATTTCCCTGCCTTTCCAAGAGAAAAGCAGTGCTACAAGGATATTATGCAGGCAGTGAAAACAGAGAGTATCAAGCATGTAGTTGCTTAAACTGATTATAGAGCAGTGATGACAAATAAAAATATTTTTTAAAAAAAAAACCAAATCAAGAGAAGTTCACACCAATGAAGAAGGATTGGCCAGAAATGGCTGCCAGGGCAAAGCAGAGAAGAAAGCACAAAGAGATATAAAACTGTTGCTCTGAGCAGTCATCTCTACTTAAAGCACAAAAAAAGCATCACAGGCTTAGGGCTCTAAATTTGTAGGATTAAATGTACCAAGGCTTTCTGTAGCCAAATTAAATTTTCACCACTTATCTTGCACTGAGCTATCATTTCAGCTCCTCTGGACTTGGCAAACCTATGAAAAAGAACAATGCAGGCAACTGTGACGGGTACAGCCACAGTTCATTTACTTAGGCAAATATGTTTTGGGGGCAGGGGTGAGGGTGTGCAGCTCGACAACAGCTTCTTGGACTACACTGGGGAAGAAGGAAGAATCCAGCTTCCCAAATAAATCCATAATCAGGTTCACAGTAAGGAAGAGAAAGATGACAATGACATGATACTGCAAAGCAGAAGCCTTGTGCTGCTAGCAATACTAAGACAAGAAAAGAGTGGAATAATAAAAATTATTCCAAGGAAACAGTCCAACAGCCCAAATCAAGGAAACAGTCATCATAAGTAATGCAGCTGTGAAGTCCTTCAGTTGTCAACTCAGAAACACAAAAGTATAGCTAATAATGAAATGGCAAAATCCTGAGTAAACATGAAAACACTTGTGGCTGAGACAAAGATAGTTGAGGAGACAAATTTTGTCACCATGAACATCCCCCTTTCCTCCTTTCCCTAAGCTTTTACTGCTGAACATGCTGAATGGCATGGTCACAGAGTATGGAACTGACCCCTTCAAGTCAGCTGGGGTCAACAGTCCAGGCTGTGTCCTCTCCCAACTTCCTGCCCTCCCCACCACATTTTAAGGGCCCAGAAAAGACAGAAATAAAGCCTCAACAGTATGCAAACATTGTTCAGAGTAGCCAAATCACTGCTGCATTACCAAAGCTGTTTTAGCCACAAGCACAAAGCACAGCACCATCCAGGCTGCCCTCTGAGCCAGGCACTCTGTGGCACAAGCCACTTCCACACCCAGAAGTGCTTACTGCAACCAGCTGCAATACATTTGTTTCACAGGAAAGGTATCCAGCCGTAAAACAGCCAGGAAGAACATCAAGTCAGCAATACCACAAAAGAATTAACCTGTTACAAAGGAGAGGAAAACACCATCACTTACGCAGGTACGGAGACAGAGCTGGGCAGAGACCCTGAAATGACTTCAACGCGGGAACATTCGTATTTGATTCAACCTTCTCTTCCCTTTGACTGTTCTCCAAGCTAGTTATCTTTCTGAAAACCTCCATCATGTTTTTAGCTTTAGAAATTTCCTGTCTGGAGTCCACAAAGTAACTGAATGTCGTCCATAGCACCATCAAGCACAAAGTGACAAGCACTAACACTCTGAACTTATACAAGCAGTGGAAAAGATTCAAGCTCAAGGCCATGGCTCTCCCCAACCCACAAACAGCTTCCTCTGCTCCGATGTCGAGGTAGGTCACTGCATATCCAGCAGGGATGAAACCAATGCTCACGATAAGAACGTCACAGTAAGGAAGTAAAGCTGGAGGTAGGGAGGGCTGCCACGTTTCCTGCGGTTTTGCAATTCATGGAGCCATACAACTGTTTGCTCTTCAAATGTCACAAATATGCCTTTAACCTGGACCATAAAAAAAAAAAAAAAAAAAAAAAAAAGGAAAGAGAGAGTTAGTTTCTACCAGTTTCACTGATGCACTTTCACGTACTTCACGAAAACAGCTTATGGCAATACACGAAAGGAATAGCAGGTACAAACAACTGGTCAGAAACTAAGACACTGAGCTTTGGTCCGAGCTCAGCCACAAACCAACTGCATGACTTTATGCAAATCACTTTCCTGCTCTGTTTCCCCTTTTCAGCCCACAACATTTCACTGGCATCAGAAGTCATTCTTTCATATTTGCCGCCTGTCAGTACCACCTCATGGGTCTTTAGCCAGTATTCTCCACTGCTGCAGGAGGCAAATCTTCCTGCTTTCTAAGGGAAATGTACAGTTTTTCAGAGTTAAATCTGTGAGGTTCCAATCCTTTGTTCTGTTTCCTGCCCTCTGTCAAGAGTTCCATTTTCATATAGCCTTTCACTGCCAGACTATAGCTACCCTTCTAACGCTTTTGGATATTATTCTCATCTCATAGCAAAGCAAGAATGAAATTTTAATAAAAGACAAGTTTGATACAGAAAGCACACAAGAAAACTGCCACCTGTGAGAAGAACAAGGACTGAGGCCAAATGAAGTAAAGGCAGTGATTAAAGACAATGCACATGCAACAGACTGGATCAAAGAGAAGAAACACAAAACCATGGAAAGATATTTTAAACCAGCTTCCAAAATATACATGAGACCCTGGAGAGGTATCACAGGCAGAAGGAATACAGAAACTCCACATTCCCACTACTTCAGCCCAGGTGTCTTCTGGAGAATTTTGCAGATTTTTGGGGACATATGTGGGAGCCTGAGCTAGGACTGACAAGGTGAACTACTAGATGTACTGCCCAACCTTCCTGGGGTTTGCTGGGAATGACCAGCTGCTGTCCCCCCTGGCAGGCAAGACAAAGTGGCTAACCTGCTCTCTCCATTCACATGCAACACACAGCATTGCTCTAAGGAAGCAACAGAAGAGCTTTCCATGACCTTACCACTAATAGTGATGGATCTCCACATCCTCTGCAACCATAGAGAAGACAGCAAAAAAAGAGAGACTACACCAGAGAATATTTCTTACAGGTAAAGGGGAGGGATGGGGAAGAGAGAGGAGAGGGAAAGATTCTCAAGAAAAAAAAAGAAAAGAAAAAAAAAAAAAAAAAGCCATGCAATTATATTAACAACCACATTTTGAGGGGTTTTGCTACTGTTTTCCCCATCTGGTCTTGAAGAACACAAAGACAGAATCACCAAAACAAAGAAGAAGGGAAGCCTGAGTTCCTCCTAGTCTTCCCCTCCTTGTCTTCTGGTCCTTGAGACCATATTTTCCAATTAATTCTTTCTAATGTTAGACAATTACACTGGAAGCCACATGGGTATCTGCCACATTGTTTTAAAAAACACAGAAAAATTAGCTTAGTGCTATCATTTACATCCTTTCCTCTGATTTTTCACACAGGAAATCATCACAACAGCCTGAAAGGCACTGACAGCATGGGTCTCTATTTCTCTCCAAAAAAAACCTGAGAATGAACAGAACTAGTTTTCCTTCTGTTGACATCTATTAGTTCTGTTGTCAGAACAGGAAAGAAAACACCAGAAACAGGGCAACACACATCAGACTGACCTACAAAATAAGCAAATCTACACAGTTCAAGACAGTTGCATCCATCTAAATTAAAAAAACAACCACAAGCCCATCTGCACAGCTCACCTGGCAGCCTAATTGTCTTTCTGCTACCTGTCACAACCTCTTTGTTACTTAGAGCACAAGGTACATGCTGGCTAAGGGCTGGACACAGTACCACCACCACTGTGAAACCAAGTCTCTGATCTTTCTGCAGCACTCAGCAACTTTGAGTATAACAAACAAATCTGGACTGGAATGCAACCAGAGAGAGAGAGACTAATGGTGATTAATAGACTAAGGTAGATACCCCCAAAGCCTGGAGATCAATGCAAGGATTTGTTCCCTTACTCATTCTCCCCATGACTCTAGTCTTAATTCAGTCTCCACAACAGGTATGGAGTAAAAGTTCCCTAAATAAATGGGAAAGCAAAAGTAGAAGGAAATTTGCCCGGGGAGATGGTGGATTCACCATCCCTGGAGGTTTTCAAGATGAGACTGGATGTGGCACTTAGTGCCATGGTCTAGTAACGATGGTCTCTTCCAACCTGGCTAATTCTATGATTCTATAAATCAAATGGGAAAACTACATGAATGGAAGGAAAGACAAAAGTGCTGAGATTTTCAATTAATATTTTGTTTAAGCAATGAATCTTACTCCTCACATTTTGCGGAGCTTTGCTGGCAGACATGCTATAATAATATAAATTAGCAGCCATGGTGACAGCAGAAGTATCATATTGGAGTACTTTGAGTTAAACAGTTTCAGTTTTTAGCTCAGCTAAGGAGCAGTAAATGGCATAATGTTTGAAACATCAGGGCATGTATTTCAGCCCAGCATTACCTCCTAGTTATCTGCCATCATACCAGGAAAAGACTTTTGCAGGACAGAAGTGATTCTGAACCACAGTCTTGTTCAAATTTCATCTTGGTTGCTTCAGACTCTGACTTACAAACATAGGAAATAATGGTCCAAAATGCTTTACTCTATTATCCCACCATATATCATCACCAGAACGACAAGGATTCCAAAAAAAGAGAAAATGTCTATGCTCCCCCATCAGTTTATACTCTGCAATAGTTGCATACAGGAAAACAGTGATAAGCTCTATGAACAATCAGAGAGCAGTGTGGACCCCAAGGGTAATATTAGCCCATAATTCTTAAATCAAAAAACTTATAATTTGCTTATCTAAACTCTACTAGCAAGTTTCAATGGAATAATCTAAATTGCTGCCTTTCATAACTTCTCAGTCACTGTGTAGTGCTCAGCAGGTGAAGCACAACCCTCAAGGGGTGTCATCTTCTCCCCAACAAACAAAACAAACAAAAAAGGTACCCCTGTGCAAAGGGCATGCATGAGAAGGGAATTTCCTTCTCCATCACCCAATCCAAACGTGTCCCAGATTACCCTGGGCTGAAAAGGACAACATTAAAAGTTAAGATACTGAACTTAACATGTAGGGAATTGCCATCAAAAGGTGTTTGCTAAAAATCAAGTTCTTCAATTCACAGCTTCCCACTTGACCAGAAGTGGACTACAACCTTTAAAAAAAGTTGACAGTTGCATACCACTGCTACACAGACTAGTGCAAATCAGCTGTTCCCCACATGAAATTCTCCTTTTCCAAAAATAAAATAAAAAATGAACTATGCATGGAAAAACACATGAAGAACAAGCTTCTGAAATACTCTGTTGATGCAGTTAAAACACCAGGAAGAGCATGCAGGTGTAAAATTGCTAAGGTATTAGGATGTCAAATTATGAACATAAACTATGAACTTACTGCACCAACCTTATATGTACTCTCTTCTGCTCCTATTCCAGATCTCACACATATGAATTTCCTTTGTCAGCTTTGCAAGATTCTTTTATAAGCAGTTGTTACTAGAAGTTCACAGTACTTGCCTCTGACAAATATTCAGAACATATTGCTGTCAGGGTGAATTATGTCCTGTAACAACTAAAATCACCTCTCCACTGAGTTCTATGGCAGCAACAGAATGGTGCTCTTGTTTAAAATACACCTGAGCACTTCAACAGAGCAGCAGAAATAAACATGCATGATCACAAGCATTAGTCACCTTTGGCTCATCACAACCCACCTGCAGAAGAGCAATAATTCATGTCTTGGAAACCTGCAGTTTGATATTTTGATGTTATCTATGGAGAATACAGTATGTATTGCAAGTTGTGGAAGCACAGGGGTATTTTGGTATTTCAAATGTAAAAAACATCCATAAATCAATTTACCCACCTATTTACTTTTCATTATTACTTGACAGGTTAAAAGGTTGTTTGTTTAGCATTTTTCCCGAGACAGAGGAATGGCACGTACACAGAAAGGCACACCTGATTCTGCTAACAGGTGAGGAAGAATTGTACCCTTAAGAATGAAGGTAACAGAAACACAGTGAAGAGCACTTCTGTGACTCTCACCAAAGACTGAGAACTCGTGAACTTAAGAGGATGATACTGAAAATAAACAGATAAGAAAGAGGTTAAGTCTCAATAAGAATGTGCCTGTCAGAGAAACTAAAGGAAACCTTGATCACTGCCCCTCTGGAGGATGTTGCGTTACCATTTCATGCTGAGGACTCTTCATATGAAAAAGTGATCTTTCACCAGCAAGCTTAAAATACTTGGGTTGCTAAGTCAGGCACCTAAGCTAGAGTCAAGACCACCAGAGTTTGGACCTTGTTAAAGGAAAAAAAAAATTAAAAAATTGTCAGGACCAGGGCCTGCTGTTAAAAAGCCACACTTGAAGAACCAGAATAAAAGCCAGAGTTGTAATACATACATAAAATCATTATTAAGGGAACAGTCATAATAAAATACTGACTAAAATAATCATGCAAAATCTACTCCAGCCTTAAGAGTCTTGCTAGTAAGGACTTAGTAAAAGAAGACATTCAGCAGCTGAGCCTTTTCCATGTCCTGTGTAACCAAGTCCCCCATCCTACTGAGCAACAGGCCCACATTACCCCATCTTCCTTTTGTTCCCTGTGTACTTATAGAAGCACTTATTTTCATCTCTGGTATCCTTAAATCATGGTTGATGTATTAGGGGTGGTGGTGGTGAAAAAAGACCACCCAGTCAGACATTGTAACATGTGCAAACAATAATTCAATCAAAAAT